CCGCGGCCCATAGGTTAAGAATCTCTGGCCTACAGTATTTTTACAGGTCTTTATTTTACAGATAAAATATATGTTTATCAAATAAAGTCTAATGTTACAACTAATCGTGGATCCCTTTAAGTGTTATCACAGCTTTCCCATATTTTGATTTATTTCTTAAAGTTCTTTAAAAATTTCCTCATGTTTGTTTCGCATCTCTGCATATTAATTGAAATACCAAATGCTCTGAATAATAAACTATAATTTACCTCTCATGCTTTGTTCCTATGTTGTTTTTTAAAATGTGAACTGTAAGCAAAATGTTTCTTTCAGCTGTGTGATCAGCCTGCTGGAGGGTAGAACCACAAAGGCGCTGACCTACACTGGTTGTTAGATGAAACTCTTTGCAGCATGCTGAGCTCTTTAGAAGAATAATTAATATTTTCCTGATAATGTGAACTGTGTTTGCACCGCTGGTTGTCGTGTTTAGACCTCTGCACTATAGTTGTGGTAGAGATCAAGGTCACGAGGCGCTGTGGTATGTTAAATATTTTATGAGCCTTTCAGTAAAAAGGGTTTGGATTTTAAAAAACAGCTGCAAAGTGGCTTCTAACTTTTCTAAATCTTAACTGATTTTCTGTGTGTGTCTGTGTGTGTGTTTCTGCCCCTGTGCAGTGGAACTGGCCATGATCATGGACCGCCTGTATGGAGGAGTTTGCTACGCTGGCATCGACACAGACCCCGAGCTGAAGTACCCCAAGGGAGCGGGGCGGGTCGCCTTCTCTAATCAGCAGAGCTACATTGCTGCTATCAGTGCTCGCTTTGTCCAGCTGCAGCATGGAGAGATCGATAAACGGGTGAGTGGAAAGAAAAGAGCAGAGTGTTTTTCTGCTTCCTTTCCCCCTCCAGCCCCCTTCTTTCTTCAGTTGTCCCCCTCACACACATTCACACGCTCGTACACAAAAGGCACCTTACTTCCTGTTCTTTTATCTCAAACTTAAACACCTTCATTTCATTTCTTTAAATCAAGGAAAAGAGTCACAAGGTCAGTTCAGTTAGTGTTGAAGCACGATAAACATGTTTACTAAAAAGTAAGATAAAATTGAGTCTTTACTGTAAACATGGTCAGTGTCTGATAGTTTTACACAAATGGCTCGTTAAAAATGGTCAACTTATTTTTGATATGACCTGGTTTTTAACTTCACTGGGCGTGCGTTTTACATTATAAATATAATATAGAGTTATTTGCAGAGCAGAATCACAACTTTTAAAACTGATCTGATTTCAGAAGTTGACGTCAGAGGATATTAGAGATTTACCACTGCATGTTTGTTGTTTCACAAAAACAGATTTTCTGTGAAATGCAGGTGAACTTGTAAATTTGACATCTTTGTTGTGATTCACATCATCGAACGTTGTTTACTGATTAATCTGAGTTGTAGTTTTCAAAGAAAACCGCTTGGGAGCAATAAATATTTTTTATTTTTAAATGTGAAATAAAAAGCGGTTTTAAATTTATAGAATCTAGAAATACAATTAGAATATAAAATGCTGGAATGCTCCTCTTTTTAGCAGCATCCATGCTAATAGTCACACTGTTTGGAGGTGGAGGGCTGTGGAACAAGTAAGAGGTTTAAAAAATCCTGAATGATTTGTTGTCAAAAGCGTCAGACAAGTTATTGATGAATGACGACCCTAAAGGCTCGAACATGTGGAAAAATACTTTATTTATGAGACTGCTGTGAACTATTATCAAAAGGAAATATGTGGATTGCAAATGACAAAATGAAAAAGCAAACAAACAAAAAACACATTGAATGGGGGAGGGGGGATCAGTGAGTGACTTTGCTTCCTCAGGGTTCCCACGGATCCTTAAAAAGTCTTAAAAGGCCCTGAATTCATCAATCCAAAAATAAGGCCTTAATTAGCCTTAAAAGGTCTTAAATCAATCCTTAGTCTTAAAAATGTTAACACATTGTAAGTAGGATGACTGTAATTTGTATCAAATATTAAAATAATTGGTAACATTTATTTATTTTTGAAATATTCCCATTCAGATGTTCCCTTTTGACACCACTTCCTGTTATTTCACATGCAAATGTCTCAACAACTGTCCATCTGAGCAATGTGAAATTTGTTTTCTAATATGTTAATAATGTTGTCTTTCCAAAAATACATTCATATTTCTTACAAACATTTTATGGTTTCATCTACAGCAAGCTGGAGTTGAGACCCACTGTGGTTCATAAAACTCCAAATTTTGGGTCGTTAGAGGATTTCCAGAAATTAATTTAAGTTTAAACCTGACTAAGATTTTTTTTGCTACATTTGACAAATTAGCCGTTAGATATGGATAAGACAATTGGTCTATTCAAAAATACTTTATTGATCCCAGAGGGAAATTAGGTAATTAGCAAAATTTGAATAATTCAGTACTTTGATTCATGAGTTTCTGCCACAGATTTATTTTATTTGTCATTTGTGTTTATTGTGAAATTGGTCTTAAATTTGATTTCACTTGGCATTAAAAAGTCTTAAATTTTACTTGCCTTAAAGAGTATCTTACCCCCCCTGTGAAAAGATAACTCCGCCCCAAGGCAAAATTTGAAAAATGCATCAAAGTGGGTGGGGAAGGGGGGTTAGAGAGCGGAGGTGTGGCCAGGATGAGAGAACGTGAAAGGTAGTTAGCTTTAGCATAATTGATGCTACATGGAGAGTGACCACAGTATCGCAGATAGTTACATCTCTGAATGTCTGAGGTGGAGGATTTTCACCCCACACCAGCACCGGACAGAGGAGGAGGAGTGCTCAGACAGCAAAAAATAAAAGCATACAGCTGAGGCTGCTCACAAGATCACTAGTTTAAATCAGGAGTAAAAGTGTTGGGTCTTGTTTGACTGAAGTTCGGTCCGGTTCGCATACATTTCAACCCCTTTAGATGTTTACCTGTATAAAGAGCCCTAAAAATCCATAAATTTTGCAAAAAGATCCTTACAACTCGCACCTGCTGCTGCGAAGCAGGAGGAAAGGAGAGAGGAAAAAGTAACTTATTTCTAGCGGCAGAACAGGTTGGAAAGATGGCTGTTTGATGTTATTTATTGTTTTTTTAAATCATCCTATAGGCTCCGACATGTTAGATAAATTTGAAAATGAGGTTTTTAAAATATCCTTAAGACTTGAAAAAATCCGTGAGATTGCTCTATATGTCCGTATACCTGCAAAATGACGTAAAATCCTTATAACTTACAGACAATCTGTACAAGCTGACGTGTGTGGGTTCGGGCTGAAACTGCCCCTCTGCCTTTCTTTCCCCTCCTCCCCTCCCGCTGTGCAGGACGTACTGCTTGTCTCTCACTCTCTCTCGACAGAGAACAGTGCAGCAGTCAGCTCTCTCCACCCGA